GAACTGAGAGAAACGCTAAACGACGAAAGCGATTCTTATTTGGTTTCTCATTCGCCAAGTTCCTCCCTTTGTTTCTATCATCATTTCAGTCGGTTCTTCATTATCCAGCCTTCTTATCGCGTGCATACGTAGACGGACCCTATAGATGACACCGCGTGTAGCAACAGTTCGGTCACGTGGGTCCGGCCGGGGCTACGTAACACTGATTGCCGGGTTGGAAGGGCCCGAAGGTGCGGGCTCGCTTTTTATACACTGTCCGGTCAGCTGGTTCACGCTGAGCGGATTGTTAATGTCGTGAGGATTCGTGCCGACGGGGTTGCGGTGAGGCTGCGGAGGTGGTTGCGGTTGCTGTTGCTGCATTGCCGCTGACGTCACCGCCGATCCTGCCATTGCCATCGCTGCCGCCGCCGCCGCCGCCGCCGCCACCGATGTCGTCGTCGTCGTCGTCGTTGTCACCGCTGGCTGGTTCGTGTTCGACAGAGGCGGGGGCGGCACCGGGGGCGTCAACGGGCACGGGCACGGGCATGGACTGGCCAGACTTGAGGGCGATGGTAAGACCAACGAAGGACTCGCCAGACTAGACAACGCGGATAGGCCCCCGGGACTACTCAAAGATTCGTCCTCCTCAGGAGTCCCCGCCTCTCCTACGCTACCCAGATTATCCTCTGAATGATCATCCTCAGCTTCACCGTCAGCTTCACCGTCGCCGTCTCCTCCCTCCCCCATGTATCTGATACATTTCTTCTTACGTCTGCAAATAATGACGTGAAACCGATTAGTACGTGCTCGTTTAGGTGTATTGAAAACACGATATAATGTTGCCTTTCGATTGCTGCAATTTCCATCTGTGAGAGATAATTTCTTTAAATAATAATAGCAAATACATAAATTTTTACTTATATTTTGATAATACTCTAAAAGTGCGAGACAAAAGCACGAGATGTTCTTTAATGTACAAAAGATAGTTAGAAGATTACTTCAATCCGATATTATGTCACCAATCAAAGCAATATTTTTTCAAACAACATTCAATTTTAATTCGACTCTTCGTGTCTCTAAACTTTACGTGGAGCTCGACACTCGGTGGAAGTCTCACCGTTGGAAATGCGCAGTGTCCATGAAAAATGTTACATCTAAAATTGTTACCAACTAAAAAAAAAAAAAGAACATGCGATTACGTCATCATCGCAAAGTCAGACACACAAACTTCTCCATCTCGAGTTAGTAAATTATCTCATGTTTCAATGCCTCAATTGACGAAGGCAACAATCTTTGTGCGCCTGACAATGCTTCGATTGCTCGACACTGATCACTCGCTCGCAAATGCCATGCTCAAAATTCTTGGACGTAACAAGCATAACGTGTAAGAAATTTGTACGTGATAAAGGAAAAAAAACTCAATCGAAATGCCAGGGGGCATCTATCGAATCGTTTAATTCATTCGTTAATCGATAATTTTATAGGGATCCGCGTTTTTTTTTTCAGCATCAATTTGTCACAAGCCAATTAACGTACGTACATACATTGAATGGATACAGTATGTCACGAACTAGGAATATTGCGACTAAGTGTGTTCAAAATAAAGTTTTCAGTCGCGTAAAAGATGGACATCGATAGAATAGATTCCGTGTGACGAGAGGAAGAAAGGCATTTTGCTACTGCACAATTTTCACAAGTGAGCCTGTCCGACCTCGTCCGAGAACTGCTTCGCAGTCGAGACATTTTGTCGCTCTGCCATTGGCTCTCATTATTTATCTCTCAGCTAAATCAATTAGTTTCATCGGCCGTGCTGCCGAGGACGACGGAAGTTGCTATTAACTCGCAGTCACACTTGGATGTCAAAGCATTACACAAAATTTACGGGAGTTAGATTCCGTAGTTTTAGTGCGCGACAACGAACGGACATTCGAAAATCTCGTGCTGGATTGCAACGTATATATATTATTTGTTAAATATTATCGATAGTTATGTATAATCGTAGTTAGTATTGAGTAGCAAGAATCGTATTCTTCGCATTTATACTGAAAAAAATTTATTTCTCACAAGAAATAATAATTTGCGTCCCTTCTTTTTCTTTAAATAAAAATAATAAATGTCTAATGCAGATACATGGCAACAGGTATCTTATTAAAAGAACTGCAATAGCAGTTGTTTGCAATCCAGTCCGAGAGTCAATCTGATAATACGAAATTGTGCAAAATTTTAACTTAAATTCCATTCTACACGTTCAGCCAGCGAGATTTTTTTCAAAGAAGTGCCTTAAGTGGTTACTATATACGTATAAAAACACGTTATTGTATAAAACATATGTATATTGCAAAAGAAAAAAATGATTATGATATTGAAAGATATTGAAAGTAAAAAAAAAAAAATGTGAAAAAGAACACATCCGCAATCATCCGATCTTAATCGTACGAACTGTCATGCTAAACAATTAAAAAATATAAAAACCTTCTAAGTGTCAAACGTTCAGAAATCGGAATAAATAACTGTTACATGTGTATATATATATATATATATATATATATGTATATATATATAGAAACATATATGTATTATATATAATATGATATATATTACAGATCAGCCATGCTAAGGGCAACACTGAGTAAATTCCAACTAAACGAGAGGGATAAATAAATAACAATAATAAGCTGTAAAGAGCCACAACAATGAGAAACAATGCGAGCATCACGGGCCACCGTCGTGCCACTTACTATGGGGCTCTCTTCGCTCGTATCTTTTCACAATGATATTTTACACGAGCTGTATGTCCTCATCAAGCTTCAGAAAAAGGTTTAATATTCATATTATGTGAGATACAGTAAAATCATTTGTGAGTTATCTTTCGAGCGACTGGCCGGCCATAGCGAGGACCGACGAAGGCCCGTAGGTTTCAAGTCGGGACTGACCACTGTTTAAGAAGAAGTGTTGCAGTAGAAGGGAGGCGATAGGCTTGACTAGAGATTAACATAAGTGGGTTCTTGCTGAGGCGAGGAGGCATTGGAGGCAGTGTTGGTGTTTGGCGGGGCGGCGGCTGTCCCCACCGTCCCTCCACCACCTCCAGCCCCGACCCCTGCCCCCGCGCTACTTCCCACACCGTGATGGATTATGCTCGCGTGGATGCCCATCCCCGCTCCATGCTCCACTGGGCTGCCAAAACCAACCACCAGCCATTAAAGGGGCGCTCTCTCGCTAAGACATATCGTCGACTTAATCCCACCTCAATCTCGCACCGTATCGTGTCGTCACCCACACGCACGTGTGTCTACGTATGTCGAACGTGTGTTACCGCTTTTCTAACTTTCGGTCCCCTGGATCTCTTGTGATAGTATAAAATCGCGAGAACGAGGCCGGCGATTACCAGGAGTCGCGAGAGATTGACTATCAAGATTATCAATTTTTTATACGTAATTTTTTTCATATTCTGAAACGCGCGATATCGATGCCAGGCAGTATCGTTTCATGTCGCTATTTTGAAAGAGATAAAAAATAGCTACTAAATTTTTTCTATTTAACATATATATATATATATATGTAAATAATTTTCTAATAATAAATGACATCTCCAAATGTTCGGAAATAAAATTTTGGCAACAAAAGATAGTCGAATGATATGATAGTTTGATGCATTACGTAGGTATCGTGATTACAGCATTGCCGGCCCCGTTGGAACAAGTTTGGATTTTAACTGGAACGAAGAAAGACAGTGGAAGATGTAGCGATTGTTGTATCGATCAGAAAATATGTCTCCCAAGTATCCGCGCTGACGCGATGGGTTTATTAGAATTGATCTTAACGCATTTGATAGCGCTACGAATATATTCGTGGTTGCGTTACAATTTATTGTCTCTATTTTTATTGTCACACGTTACATTTACAATACTTCTAACACGATTTCTTAAATATTCGTGATAACATTACCAATCGAAAGCACAATGACGTTTATACAGGCGGTATGTAAGTTACGTGCATTCAATGCAGAGTGCAATCGGCCAAGTCCAAGTGCAGCAAAACCATGTGCGCTCCCGATATCTGACAGTAAGTCTTGATTTTGGCAGCGTGAACACAAACCAAATGCAATCGCACAGGATGAAATTTTATAAGGCTTTACGACACGAATTTTACACGTTTTACGATACGAATTTTATATGCTTCTAATTCATTCCCATGCACGCGATGATGAAAGATTGCCAGGTTGGCACGATTCGTCGGTAGAACTACGTTCTCCAAATGGCGCTTAATCTGGTGATTGCTCTCGAGAGCCTGTCACCTTCTCTCATCGCGTAATAAACGGAAAGAAAGAAAAAGAACCGTTCGATGGGATTCGTCCTCGCCCCTTTAATGAGGTCCATGAAATTCACAAACCCAGCCGGGAGTTGGGGCATTTGGGCTACGCCGTGACAACGAGGCAGTGTATAATCGACGATAAAAAAACGGGTGGCTCGTGATACCGCGGCAAGCTACGAAAGTGTGCTTCTAGAAACCGATATTTACAAGCCAAGTACAGTTTGGACACGTTTGGGCGTCGTTAAGCGGCGTCGTGCGCCTACTCGTAACTAGGGAGGAGATTGGTCATTCACATCCCTTTCTCTTTTTGTTCTTTTTTTTTTTTCTCTCTCTCTTTGGAAGACACATTTTCTGATGGTAGCGCGCTGAACTTCGCGCTGTGCTTTTTCTCTCTGTTTCTTTCCTCGTTCGCTCTATGCTATATTTGTAGATTCGATAGGAAGGGAGTACCATCATTGCAAACATGAATTATTCTTGACACGAGACGACCCTGTTGCGCATGACGTTTCGCATCGTATCGCATCGCATAGCACCGATATTTGTACACTGAAAAAAATGATGTTGTATCAACAGAGT